TTCTGTTACTAAGACATAGCTTCAACAATATTGCCTGAGCAGCTACAGAATTATATGTAGTGAATTTTTGGGAAAAAAAATTCAAAGTCAAAAAAGTTACATGTGGTATAACATGTGATTTATTTATTCTGATGGGCAAAAAACTGAGCAGACCTGTATGTACATAATAGACAACTATTGACTTAGCTTGCTGCACATATGTAGTGTGGGTGAAATGGCCCAGGTGTGCAGTATTAGATTCTTTTATGAAAAACTGTACTATTAATCATTTTCCTCTGCCAAATTGGGGAAGTTGAATGATGACTTTCGTCATGTTTTCAGCGCAGAAGATCCAGTTTTTTGGGATGGGTCATCACATCATATTCGATGTTATGCCCATAAGCTTAACCTGACTGTTGGACATGGCCTTAAAGTCCTTGGTCAGAAGGTATGTTATTCCAAACCGACCAAACCAGACAAGATTCCCCTCCCGATTCCAGCTCTAGAGGTCAACGACGGGGAGGATGATATTCAAATTGATGATCCCGAATCTGAAGAAGAGAATGATGACGACTTACCTGCTACACCCGATGGTGTCAATGACAATGACGGTGAGGACGGAATCGATGTTGCTTCTGGCAAGGACGATCCTGTGGCTGTTGCTCTTGAGAAGGTATGTACTGGAATTCATGGTATACAATGTCTTATCTCTCATGTGTATATACTGATGATGATGTCTTGCTTTAGGTTGACAAGGTAATTGGGCAAATCGCTAGTAGTGCAGCCCGGCGTTATGATTTCAAGCATCGATCTACTCGTATGGGTTACACGGGACGTATGCTCAAACGCCCGTGCAAAACCCGGTGGAATAGTCATTATGAGAGCCGGAAAGTTGCTTGTGAAGCACAAGAGGCAAGTTATCTATCACTTTTGATACTATCGTTTTTCTCATAATTTCTTAATTAATCTCTTTTCATTTCTTCACAGGTAATAAACTCCATGCTTGCCGCAGACCGAAAGGCATGTTTTTTCAAGGGAGTCACTATTTCCCCCGATGAATGGCACTCAATCGAGCTGGTTAACAAGGTACTGAAAGTGAGTTTATTTCCTCTTCTTTCAGCTTCGTATATTGAATGAGATACCAATTAACATTTCATTCTTTTCGGTAGACCTTTGTGGATGCTACCGCACGT